GAAGTGGCCCTCGGCGGAGTGCACCTCGGAGGAGGAGGAGGAGGAGGAGGAGGAGGACGAGGAGGAGGAGGAGGAGGAGGAGGAGGAGGAGGAGTCGGCGATCGCCAACGTGCGCGTGAGCGATCGGAAGAACGCGGTGGAGCCCAGCGACGTCACGATCCAGTTCCTGAATCGCCGCAGGGAGCTGCCGACAGCTCGCCCACGTGTTCTCCGCGCGGCCGCCGCCGTGACCGTTTTCAGATGCGAGAGGTCCTCGATGCCGATGGAGAGGATGCCGCGGTGCTGTCGCCTGTGCAGCCGTCGCGATGGGAGCACCTTCGCGGGCTGGCCTGCTGCTGCGCGCTTGGTCTGGCGGCTGGCCAAGGCTTGGCGGGCGGTTGCAGGAGCAGCTTTGGTACGCTGCTGGCACTCGCAGGCGAGGAAAGGCAAGTCGCGCAGGACTCCGAGGGAGGGCCGAGGACGCCGCCGAAGCCTGGCCATGTTCGCGACGACGGTGTGGACAGAGGCCCACCGGTAGGCGGCCGCAGAGCCGTCGGCGCGCTCCGGGGACCTGGCCTTTCTTCTGCGACTGCGAGACGGTCTCCTCCAACTGGCACGGGCTCCCCGTCCTGCTCGGACCCCGCCTGCCCACCTCTGGCCGCAGGAAATGGCGGCGAGCAGCATCCCCCCACGTGGCGCGCCCGCCTGCTGCACTGGCCGCTGACGTCGTGGATGCCCCGACCGTCGCCGCGGAAGGCCACGGAGTCTGCGACGACGGCCCACGGCGGGGGGCTCGGCGAGCGGTGCTTCCCCGTGCGCTCCCAGGTGGCGGCCGAGATCGCGAAGGGGTCCTCGTCGTCTGCTCCGCCTGCTAGCCGCGACGACGCCGCGACGCCGCCCAGCCGCGCAGGCAGACTCGTAACCCCTGGCGGCGGCGATGGGGCCGCTGACCGCTGAGCAGCGCATGCCTCCCGGCCGCCCGGGATGCCGAGGACGACGGCCCCGCTCCCGTTCCCAGAGATCCGACGTCGTGATTTTTTCAGTACGGGGCCCCCGGGGGTCTCGACTCGTTCCCCGGGACCGGTTTTTCATCCTAAGTCGTTTTTTGACGGTCCCGGGGCCCGGCGAGGACCCCTTGAGGCCGAAACTTGCGAAAAACCTCCGTCTTGATTTTTTCAATACGTTGGATCTCTGGGTTCACCGGGCGGGCCGACCTGCTGCAGCACTGCATAGGGCTGCGCTCCCGCCGACGAGCGAGGCGCATGCCCCGGGGGCAGTGCCGCCGGGGAGGGCAGCAGCCGCCGGCCCGCCGAGCACACCCGCCGAGCAATCTTGGTCCCGCGCGCCCCGCCGAGCTGCCGCGCGCCAAGCTCCTCGCCGCTGCCGCCGCCAGAGGCTAGGTCCTCGTCCTCCGCGCTTCCGATCAAGTCGAAAGCCCAGAGATCCAACGCATTGAAAAAATCAAGACGGAGGTTTTTCGCAAGTTTCGGCCTCAAGGGGCCCTCGCCGGGCCCCGGGACCGTCAAAAAACGACTCAGGATGAAAAACCGGTCCCGGGGAACGGGTCGAGACCCCCGGGGGCCCCGTATTGAAAAAATCACGACGTCGGATCTCTGGGTCCTCGTCCTCCGCGCTTCCGATCAAGTCGAGAGGGCGGACCATGGCGGTGGTGTCGCCGAAGAGGCGCGCGCGTGGGGATGTCGGCAGTTGTGATCGATCGGGGGAGCGTAAGACCCGGGTTTGCCAGGACTCGGGTTCGCCATTTTTTTTTTTACGACCGCGACTCGGATTTTGACGAGTAGGAGTTTCGTGGGATGTCTGCAGCGGGAGGCCTCGTCAAAATGCAGGCTCGGCCTCGTCATTTTTTTGACGACCTCGTCGGGGATTTCCGAGTCCCCCGTACCCGGGTCTTACGTTTCCCCGAATCGACTAGACGCAATTGAGTGGCCTTTCACCGGAGTGACCTGTGGTGCCGGCACAGCTGGCCCTCCAGATGGCCGCAAGCGAGGCGGCGGCAGCGGCTTGCGCTCTTGTTTGCCCCCCCCCGGCGGCCCCCCAAAAGGCCGCGCACCGAAGGTCACCCTTACCCACCCTGACTCCGAGTCCGCCCTACTTTGGGGAAGTTCACAAGTAGGGCTTGGAATTTCCGCCTTACTTTTCAAGCCCCGCTGATGCCAATTTCCGCCCTACTTTTCTGTTGTTGGGTCCGCCCTGCTTCTGTGGATGTTCGCCCTCTTCAATGCTGGGTGCAGAAATTTCCGCCCTACTTGTTCGGCCTCTTATAGGTGGATTTCCGACTCAACTTTAAGTTGGAAAGAAAGCCAGAGTAGGGTGGATCTGGAGTCAGGGCACCCTTACCCAGGGTCGCTCTTGCACGTAGCCGATGTAATTGCCTCGCCCCAGGCGGGTGGCCGCCTCGGGACTGGTTGCCGCCGGTCGCCGGCCCGGCGCGGTGCGCCCGCCAGTCGCCACCGCCACTTGGGCGACGCAGGAAGCCGAGCATTTTCTTCGGGTGGAGGGCACAGGGTGAAATCTGAAATACCGTTTCGATGTATTCTCGGAGCTTGAACCCGCAAGAGGTGAATCACGAGGCGGATTGCCCCTCGAGATGCAAAAGCCCCTTGGGATTTCACCCTGAGCCCTCCACCCTGAGAAAATGCCCAGGGAAGTACCTCCCCTCGCCCCCGCTGGCCCCTGAGCGCCCAGCGGCCGGAGCCGCGCGCGACGCGGCCGTCGCCGAGCGCGAGGGCTCCGAGCCACAATGGGGTCGGCTCGAGCAGGGGCGGTGCCCTCTGGCAGCGGCGCCGCGGGCGCGGCGCTGCCGAGCATGTGCGTGCCTCTCGGGAGGGCCCCAGTCCGACGACGTGGGCGCGCGCCCCGTTCCCCGGGCGGAGCGACCTGCTGCTCGACTCGCACTGGCCCCCCCCCCCCTCCCCCGGGTTGGCGGAGCCCCGAGGCCCGAGGCTCGAGTAGGGGGCCACACGCGAGCCCTGCCCCTAGCCCCCACGATTTCTGAGGGGGAGGGTGGGGTTTATACTCCGCTCGGGAGCTCCCGAGCGAAAGGAACCCACCCCCCCCCCTCAGAAATCGTGGGGGCTAGGGGTAGGGTTCGCTTGTGGCCCCCTATCGAGGTTCAGGGCTGCCCGTGTAGCACCAGCGCCGCCAGGCAAGAGAGGCACCTCCACTGCGCGAGTCGACGGCCCGGGAACGTCTTCTCTGGACGCCCGAAATGGTTACGGAAAGAATGAGTACAATGCCCAACAAAAAATCCTGTCCATTTTGAAGAGGATTCTCTGTCCACGCCGCCGCGGCCTCTGTCCATTCGGGACAGAAGACCGCCTGCCCAACAGCGGCCGCTGTCGGTTTGGGACAACATTTGTTGTTGGGCATTGTGCCCATTCTTTCCGCCGTACCCATCTCGGGCGTCCAAATCCTCCTGGCCGCCGTGGGACGCCGAACACGACGGCCCCGCTCCAGGAGCGCGGGCGCCCCTTTCGCCAGGCAGGCCGACCTGCTGCGCGCGATTCGACGGCCCAAGACAGTCCTCCTGGCCGCCGTGGGGTGCCGCGGACGAGGGCCCCTCTCCAACGACGTGGGCGCCCCTTTCGCCGGGCGAACGCTGAGAGGCTGCTGGCGTGGGCGGTGTAGCCCTCGGAGCCGACTGCGGGGACATGGACCTGCGCGGGGTGCCCAGTGTCGCCGACCGTTGGCTCTGAGGCCTCGTCGTGCCATGCACTCGAGAAGCCGCTCGCCGACGAGCCCGAGCCGGAGTCGCCGGCCCAGGCCGCCGCCGTCGGCGGCGGAGGCCTCCTCGTGTCGCAACCCCCCCGCCCGCCGCCGGGCGTGCTGCCGCAGGACAGCGCGCCGCTCCTCGGTGGGCGTCCTGCCCGCGCCCCGAGGGCCGCGCGCTGCTCGGCCGGGGCGCGGGGCGCCCCGCGGGCCGTCGGGCCCTCGGGGGGCGGGCGGGGTGCCGCGGGGCGCCCTTGGGGCCGGCTGCGCGCCGCCGCCGCGGCTGCCAAGGGCGAGGCCGCAGGGCGTCTGCCACCGGCGCCGCGCGGAAGTCCGCGAGGCTCGCGGCGCACGGGGGGCGCAGGGGGCGGGGCCGAGGCCACAGGAGTCGGTGCGCGAGAGGCGCCCCGCCGCGCCGATCGCGCGCGAGCGCGGCGTCGCACTGCAGGGCGTGGCCGCCGACCTATGCTCAGCGAAGCCGCGGCGCTGCCGCGCTGACGGCCCCATGCTGACGAGGGCCCTCGCGATCCACGTCAGCCGGAGCACCGTGAGGAGCGCGCCGAGGGGCGCGCCTCTTCGGAGGTTCTCGCCAGCCCAGCCGAACGAGGCGAACGCGCAGAGGGCACTGGCCACCATGAAAGACCTCGCGCACGTGCAGGACGCCCGCCTGGGAGCCGCCCAGATTGGAGGCGGCGGGAGCGCGAAGCTGCCCAGTGGGAAAGGACGTCGCGGCTGCTGGCCAAGATCCACTCGCCGCCCTCGGTGCCCATGAGGCCGAGGCCGAGCCGGGCTGCTCATGAGGCGCCAGCCGTCGCGCTTGGCGCGGCCCTCTTCCAGTCGTGGAGCTTCGCGGCGGACCTCGTGCGAGGCTCGGCAGCGCCCAGGTAGGGGCAGTCTTGCGTCTGAGACTGCAGTCGGCCTGGATTAGTAGGTCGACCCTGCCAGCTCAAGGGTGGGGCGATGTGGCCCTCGGAAGGGTCTTGTGTCCTCTCGCGTGTCCTGTCCAATCAAGGCCGCATGTAATCCTGGACGAACTGCCACGCCTGCGGCCCCATGGCCCGGATATGGCCGAACAATCATGTGCGCTCGTGCTCGCTGGAGCCGAGCGGAGGTCGATCAACGCTCGCGCCATCGACCCGAAGCCCACGGCTAGGGACAGTAGCATCTCGACAGTCACCCGAGGCTGGAGGAGATGGAGGGCCGTCCTCGGCACCCTTGAAGGCAAAACTTTATTGCTGTGCAAGGTCAGCAGCCCCGATGGCCGCTGCGGGCCAAGCCTGGCGTCATGAGACCGCGGCAGCGGCTGCATCCTGGCCCTTGGTCTTGACCGCGGCGGAGGCTGCAGCGGTCGCCTGCTCAGCGGCTCGGACCTTGGCCTGGCTGAGCTTGGCTGCCTCCCGCTGCGGCGGTGTGGTCGATGCCGCAGTGGTGGCAGCCATGCTGGGGGCGGCAGGCTGCGCGGCGGCGGGGGTGGCCTGGGCGGGGCCCGCTGCAGACTCCGCAGCTGCCGCCCCAGGCGCGGCTGGGCCTGCAGGGCCCTTGCACTTGTTGGCTGCTCGCTGGCGGCTCTGCTCGGCCAGGGTCTTGGCCTGCTCGAGCGTGGCCCTGACTCCGGTGGAGTGCGACTGGAGCTGGGACGTGGCGTCGCGAAGCTCGCTGCGGAGCGCTGTCGCGCCGCCGCCTCGTCGAGCTCCTCCGCGCCCTCGTCCTCGAAGGCGGAGTCGCCCCAGGAGAGCTGGACGAGGTCCGCCGCAGAGCCGGCTGACGGCCCCGCGGCAGAGGGCGGCAGCAGCGCAGGCGCTGGCGGCCTTCTGCTTCGCAGCCGCTGCTCGCGAGCTTCCGCCGTGCCAGGGGCCCTGCGGCACCGAGGGACCTGCTCCACTGCGCTCCGGTGGCGCCTGTGCAGGTCCTTGCACACGCCCGACGCTCTGCGGAAGGCGTCCTCGGAGGACGGCTCGGCGGCTGTGGCGGCGGCGGCCTCTCCGCATGCTGCTGCACGGCCAGAAGGCCTGCTGCACCTTCTCGGGGGCCGTGCCACCAGCGGCTGCTGCGCCAGCGATGGCCTCGGACGCCAAGTCCAGCACGGAGCTGGGGAGCTGGAGCGCGCTGTTGCTGCCAGCGCCTGCGCCAGCCTTGCGGCCGCGAGGCGGCGAGGCGCCATGGCCGATAGGGGCTCGTTGCGCGTGGTGCACGACTCCTCGAGCCGCAGCAGCAGACCCAGTCGCGCTCGGCCAAGCGGTTCCCACTCGCACCGCCTGCAGGACTGGTATCGCGACCAGGCTCCTCCGCGAGCAACGGACACGCTGTTGCCGCCGTCGTTGCTTCGAGGGGTGCCGCTGCGGCTGCGGGAGGCTCCGCGCTGATTCTTGAGCCAAATCGGCAACGCTAAAAAACTCTGGGGGGCAATCCGCATGCAGGCGTAGTGTCGCCCCGCATTTGGATTGCCCCCTTTCCGAGGTTCATGCAGGCGCAGGGTCGCACCGCATTTCCCTCGGAAGCGCAAGACTATGCTACAATGCTGCCTGCTGCTGGTGACGGCTACCCGGCTGGACTGTGAACATATATAGGTCAAAGCACGCGCAAAACACGATTTGCCCAATGTTTACGAGGACACTTTGGCCTGACGCGAACAGCACCATCGCACACGCATTGCGATCGACGCAATATTGTGGGAACCCCAGCCTGGGTAGACCCCCCCCCCCACACACACACACACACACACACCCGTAGCCATTTTGGCTCAAGATGATCTGTTCCGCAGGGGAACGAGTGGATACCGCTAGTCCGCGGCCAGTGCCAGGGCCTCTCGGCCCGACAGTTTTGATTCGTGTTTTGGCAAAGGGTAGGCTGTGCGCTGCCCACTCGCCATGTCCAGTTCCTCGCAGAGGGCCAGGTCCGAGCCGCGGGCCAAGGGTGGCGGCGGCAAAGGCAAGAGCAAAGGAGTTGGCAAGGCAGGCAAGACCAACGCGAGCGGAGGCAACCCCCTGGACTACGTCCGCTGTGCGAACTGCTCGTGCAAGTGGAACTTCAAGGCCAGGATGGACTGCTACAATTGCAAGAAGCCGCTCAAGCCTGCAGCAGTGGACAAGCCTCCGCAGCTACGGGCATCGGCGTGGTCTTTCGTGCGCGAGCCGTGGGTGCACTCGGACGACTGGATCGGGTACGAGGCACCACTGCCGCAGCCTGCCCCGCCGTCGGACGCAGAGTGCCTCGCGGCGTTGGCGGCCAGGCATCCCGAGCGCGGCCTGCAGCTCGAGGCCATCAAGAAGGCCGTCGCACCACCGCCCGTTGCGGCCACGGTGTTGCCAGATGTGGCTCTCAACCGCGCCCAGGCCAAGCAGAGGCGGGCCCAAGCCGCCTTCCTCTCCAAGTCCCAGCAGGTTCGCGACGCTGAGCAGTGGCTCCAGGCCTGCCGCGAGGAGGAGGTGCGTGCTGGGGAGCTCGTCCTGGCGTGCGACGTGGAGGTGGAGGAGGCCTACAAGGCAGCCGCGCCCAAGGGCGTCCAGGTGCAGGCGCAGGTGGCGCAGGAGTCTGGCGCCAAGGCTCAGCCTGCCGTGGGCCTCAACGTCACGGCGCTGTTGGCGGATGACTTCCAGGTCGAGGCAGGCGACGCCTTCAGGCTGGACGACCCCGACCTGGACATCACCGACGCGGAGCGCGAGGAGTTCAACAAGTCCCTGGAAGGCTTCGTCGAGCAGGTCAAGCAGCACGTGCGCACCACCTTCGGGGAGGCCAAGACGCAGCTGGAGCAGAGGCGCAGCGAGATCGACGCCAAGCACCAGCAGCTGCTGGCCAGGCGCAAGCGGCCACGCACCGAGGCGGCAGGAGCAGCAGACCAGACGCCAGCCCAGGCGCCAGCCGCAGGCCCTGCGGCAGCAGGCCCCGCGGAGGCCCCAGCGGCCGCCGCGGCCCCAGCCCAGGCCCCTGCCCCTGTGCCGCCTGGGGCCCCTGCTGGGCCTCCTGTTGCTCACCTTCCAGAGCCACCCAGCCTCCGCGGCCCCGATGGCGCAGCCAAGTTGGCTCAGCTCAGGCGGGACTTGGAAGCAGCAGCCGCCGTCCCAGCTGGGGGCGCAGATGCGTAAGGCCCAGCCCTGGGGACCTGATGCACCGCCAGTGGCCAAGCCACGAGAGCCCAGACTCGTCCGCCTGGGCAGACGGCAGCTGGCCATCCTGGCCACGCGTATGCGCCGCATGGCTCGGCGCTGGCGCCCCCCGTCTGTGGGGGCCGAGGCTCAGGACCGCAGGCACTGGGACTCCTACTGCGTACCGTACATCTTCCACCAGCTGAGCTCTGGGGAGTACACAGCCATGCTGGACGACCTGGCAGCCACCACGGGCAGCGGATCCCGAATTGCCGAGCGCATGAGGACTGCACGGGAGTTGGGTGACGAAGCCTGGAACCGTGGAGGGGAGGCCAGGCGCCTCCAGCGGCAATGGTTAGAGCATCTGCAGGTTACCAATCAGGAGGCTTTTGAGCGTGAGGCGGCTCAGCAGGACCGCAACCAGTCAGCCGCGGAGCGGTGGTTCGACCGTCAGTCCCAGGCCACGCCGGCAACACAGGCCCCCACCGTCTACTTCGACGACCGCATCCACTGTTGGAGATTGTGCGCCGCGGAGGTGCTGGAGGCCGAGCTCGGCCCATCCACCTCGACTGGGACTTCGGAGGAGCCGGGGCTCTGCTCTGCCTCGCCAGGTGACTGCACCGAGCTCACTCCCACCCCAGCCGCGTGCAACCGCACGGACGAGCACCGAGGAGCTGCCCCAAGCATTTCAGCTGCTGGCCTCTCTGCCGTCCGAGGCAGCCCAGACCAGCTTACGTCAGTTGGTGTTTGCTACGACTCAGCTGTTTCCACGGGCGATGGACTCTCGGCCGTTGACGGTGGCACCCAGGCGCAGCTTTGTTCAGCCAGGGGTCTTTCGTGCTCCACAGTACCCACGGATGGTGGTTTCTTGGCCGCTGGAGGCACTCAGGTGCAATTTACGTCAAGCCGCGGCCCCTCTGGCTCAGATGCCTCACCTGTTGAGGGTTTTTCTGTCGCCGTTGGAGGCACTCAGGAGCAGCTTACGACAGTTGGTGGGTGTTCGGGCGTTGCTGTTCTCACAGGCGAGTCTCTCCTGGCCACTGGAGGCCCTCAGGCGCAATTTACGTCAGTTGGTGGTTTCTCGGACCCAGTGGTTACAGCAGGTTGTGGAGGCTCTGCCCACGGAGGCAGTCAGGCGTTGCTTGCGTCAGGTTTTGTTTCTGCTGGCTCAGCTGTCTCATCTGGGGAAAGCCATCGCGGCCCTGGGCAGACATGCATCGTCGGCACGGCGCAGGAGGCTGCGGCACACCCTACCGAGGGCAAGGACCTCAGCGTCGGCAGCGTCGGCGGCCAGTCCACCTGCAGCGGGACTTCGGCAAAGCCCCAGTGCGACGTCGCCAAGTATCGACCCCCAGCAGCAGGAGCTCGTAGAGGCAAGCGTCGACAGCGGAGCCACAGGCGCTTCACCTTCCACAGTGTCAACGCCAGCCTCAGCTGGGGCAACGTTGTGGGCTACCTCCACGGAGCGGCACACCAGCAGCTCACCGAGGGCAAGATTCCGATCATCGGTTTCCAGGAGCACGGCAAGCGGCGTTTGTGGGCCGAAGAGAGCGCACGGGCCCTGCTGCCCTTGGGCTGGAGGGCCCTGCCCGCGCCAGCGACGGACGGCCCGAATGGAGGGGCCTCGGCGGGCGTCATGCTGGCGATACCTGCCTGCGTCGGCGTCACCCTTGCAGCTGGACAGCGACACTGGGACATATCGCCCCCAGGTTGTGCGGGCAGGCTCCTGTTGGCCACCCTCGAGGCCAAGGGCATCGGCAAGTTACTTGTTTTCTGTGCGTATTGCTTCACGGGTCAGAAGCTGGCGTCAGTGGGCAATTCTGCTCTCCTGTCGGTTATCACAGGGTGGGCAGTCCAGCTCCAGCTGCCCTGGCTAGTCATCGCGGACTGGGAGAATCTACCTGACGCATTGGAGCGTTCGCCGTGGAACAACCAGCTTAGAGGCCGTGTCGTAGCATGGCAAGGGGAAGGGGGCACCAACCGCTCCCCGCATGGTGAGCGCGTGATCGATTACTTCTGGATGCACTCCAGTCTGGCTGCCAATATTTCCCCAGCCCGCATTGACGACGACGCGGTCTACCACCCTCATCGAGCCACATGGGTCGAGTTTCTGCAGCCTTGGTCCGCCTTTACCTACACCAAGCTCATCCGACCCCACAAGTTCCCGATCCCAGGAGTCAAGCCGAAGCATTTCGATCTCTCATGTCCAGACGTGCCTGCGGGTTTCGACCCCGATGCGGTGCCTACCCAGGAGCTCCTGGACGGCACCTGGGAGGTCTTCTGCCACGCCGCCGAGGAGGAGCTGATCCAAAAGGTGGGTTTGGACCCCAGCAGTCGGCAAGCCGATCAATGCCGAGGGCGTGGGGGACCACCACGCTTCAAGAAGTGCCCGTTGCTCCCGACCCACACCGAGGCCATCGCCTCGTACGGGGAGGCCAAGCGCTGGAGGTGGTTTGCCAACGAGTTGGCTTGGCTGGGCATCATTGAAGTGAAGCTTTTCAGCTACACGGGCGCTTCCGACCTGGTCCTCACCACGCTGCACCAGCAGCGGCACGCCTCCATTCGCAAGTTGCGTGACCGCTTCAGACTCCACATGCTGGTTGAAGGCGTGGCTGAGCTGCAGGAGTTCTTCGAGGTTTTCACGTCTCGGGACCGCGGCTACGAAGACTTGCAGGAGCTCGCGGATTGGCGCCTCAGCTGCAGTCAGTATGCCTCGTACTTAGAGTGGCAGATCGGCAAGGAACGACGAGATTCTTTCAAGCAGCGGTTGGAGGACGACTTCCCAGGCTCGCAGGGGCTCCTCCACAGGGTCACCAAGTGGCGCCAGGCTTGGCAGGCCCCCAAGGGCAGCATATCCAAGAAGCTGCTCCCAGCGGCGCCTCAGGCCGCCGTGGACCAGGAGTTGCACGACTGGTCGAAGGTCTGGGTCACTGGCTCAGGTTTCCCCAAGCCATGGAGGGGCCTCCAGCAAGTCGCTGTCACGCCGCCCAGCCCTCACCACCTGCGTGGCTTGGCCCAGCGTTTCAGGGCCAAGACGGGGATTGGCGTGGACGGATGGCAACCAAAGCTTTGGGCGTACCTCACGGACGGCACGCTCTCGGTGCTCGCGTCATTGTTGGCCTGGTGCCAACAACTGGGGCGGTGGCCGACTCAGGTCCACCTCCTGCTCGTGTTCATCATCGGGAAGCTCGATGGAGGGGGCCGACCCATCATTCTACTACCTGGCCCTTGCCGAATCTGGGAAGCGTGGCAGCTGCCCACCATCAGGAGTTGGTTGGCGGCACACCCCAGGAGCTACGACTACA